TCTCTCTCTCTCTCTCTCTCTCTCTCTCTCTCTCTCTCTCTCTCTCTCCTCTCTCTCTCTCTCTCTGTTTCTCCTACCCTTGTTACAACATTTTTACTGGATCCTTGGCTAGGAGAATACTCATAGGAGACACACACACACACACACACACACACACACACACACACACACACAAACACTCAACTCTGCTCCATTCCTTCATTCCCATGTCTTGGGTTCCCTTGCTGCTGGGTGAGGTGCTGAGAGAAAGCCAGAAAAGCTAGTTGTGTACGAGCTCAATGCTTCATTGCTCCTCTCAACTTCCCTGACCAAACACAAATTGAAGACAAAATTATTTCAGGACTGTGACTACAGGACATGAGAGAGCCTGGGGCACATGGGCAGGTCCAGGAAACTTGCCGTGCTGGCAGACTTAGTAGACGGCTAGGAGAAAGGAATAGCGCAGCCACTTGGGTCTACCAGCGTGCAAAAGACTCATGGAGCTGATCTTCGTGAGTTACAGGGTTTGGACCCTCGACTTCCTCATCTACACCACCTGTGTAGCATCAAGTGATGGAGACTTCGTGAGCACAGAGACCTTGGGAAGTACGTAGGGCTTCCTTGGGAAAGGTGTTGATTGGTCAGAGAAAGTGGAGGATTCTGGGACTGCAGCTGCCATGACACCAGCCTCTGCGGGCTGCGATTCGGTAGCGGGGGTAGGATCAGTGAGGAACCATAGGCAGATCTGAAGGTGGCCGCTGGAGAGTCTGCCTTTGGGACTAGCTGACTGCCACTGATCTGGGATCTTCTTTTAATTGTTGTACAACTAGGTGGCTGAGGGAAACCAGGGCCATTCTGATCTCCAACCGACAAGCAGGGCTTGCGTTCCTCAAATGGCCAGACCCTGCTTGGCACTAGGGATGGAGGACAGACACTGCTGGGTCGGCTTTGTCTTCAGGGCTGTCTATGACAAGAAACAGGTCATTTCCTGCGTATCTCAGGTCACAAAATTCTAGCACACAGCGCTTGGCCATCTCTTTTGAAACAGTTGCTTATGATCGAATGGGAAAACGGGAGACCAAACTGTGTCTTGGTCAGGGCAAACTGTGGTCTTTCCTGGTTACAGTTGAGTCATATAACAGAAGGTGACTGATGAGACATTAAATGGTGTGCATGTTTTAAGGACACATAGGACAGGGCTCTCAGAACCGCAGGAGCCTGTGGTTTCTGAAATACGGGTGGGTGGCTTCCTGTCGCTGCAAGGCATGCTGGGGAGATGAGATAGGACAGGCTCCACCTCACCACCTTCTCTACCCAGGTTCTGGCAGTTTGACTCTTGAAGTCTGGCCAGTTGTCAGCAGAACTGGTGTTAGGAGTGACCAGGGACGTGGCCAGAGGTGCAGAAGTCCATGAAAGTGTGTCTCAGACCAACGTCTGCAGGAGGGTGTTGAAGCCGTTCACTCTGTTTTGTGCCTGTAGACAGCGATTTTAATGTTATGTAAATGCAGTCCCTAATTCCTAATAGTCCGGAAATGTATGTGTCAGGGCTGTGGCAGCTCAGGTTGTGGATGATCCAGATGATGGAAACAGACTGTGGTGTGTGTGTGTGTGTGTGTGTGTGTGTGTGTGTGTGTGTGTTAAAGGAAAGCTTGCGATTATCAGCTTCTGTTTTTTTTTCTTTTTTTTTTTCTTCCTCACAACAAGATTTAAATAGGACAAGACAAGATGTTGAGAACCGAGAGGCAGAACAGATGTTGTCTGAGGAAGAAGCCACTGTGAGGCCAAACTAGGAGAAAGGGAAGGAGGTGAAGGCTTTGAAGGGGAATGGACACTCTGGGTTTCAAGGCACAAAGTGATACCCACCTAGTCAGAATCACTTATCTAAATAGAAACTCCAGGAAATTCGTGTGAAATTTGGTCTAGGAAGATGAGTGCAATGTGACGAAAGTTTGCCAGGGGGCCACATGTGTGGGTGGCAGCAGAATGCAGCACAAGGGCCAGTGGCAGATACACCAGGAGCAGGCTGAAGGAGCCTGCAAGGCTGTGTAGGCTCTTGCCGCACACTTTGTCTTCCCATAGGAAGCCTGTGGCTCAGCAGAGTCTAGTTGTCTGGTAGCTGTGCAAACAAATGGGCTGCCCTTTGCTGTCTTCAAGTCCTCTGTCTTTTGGGAGATGGTTAGGATCATGGTTAGTGTGACAAAATTTGCCACCTCTTAAGGCACAAGGTAGCCTAAGAGACCAGAGACTGGAATGATTATCTCTTTAAGATGATCCAAGTAATCAAATGTGTATACATGAACCCAATTCATTGCTCCTAAAAGAGACCCCGTAATGCTTTTATTTATTGACATAGAAAAATTGTTCACTTTTTCTGGGTGTTGCATGGTGTCTGATACATGCATATGTTTGTAGGGATCAAATAGATTACACCAAACACCTACATTTCTTCGCCTTGCCACCAAGATGTTAGAGTCAGATTTGGCTGGCTGTTTTCTTTTCTCATAAGGAGTGTTGAAGGAAGAACAACACGGTCAAGCCAGTAGCGAAGGATTATAATGCCAGGGACTCTGCAGGATGAGTCAGAAGTATGGGAAAGTTCCGGATCTTCTAAGGAACTTAGAGTGAGGTCAAGGCCACTTTGAGCAATTTAGTGAGAGTATGTTTCAACATGATGGGTAAAAATAAGGCTGGAGATACAGTTTAGTGATAGGGCTCTTGTCCAGTGTGTGCAAGATCCTACATTCAACCCTCAGCACCACAAAATGAAACAATTACAATTACATTGTTGGTCAACTTGCAAAAACCCAGGTATATTAATGATAACATTTTTTTTGCATCATCCTAAAAGCACATGGGTAGGGAAGCGTGTTTTTCCTCAGAAGGCACAGACTTCACTCTTCCTAGGTCACGTGACCAATGTAATCTGGAGATGGTCCTTTGCAGTGACTTAGACAACGATACTTAGAGCCAAAGGATTCAAGGCAACCCTGTGCTTCTCTGCACCTTATTTTTCCCCCAGAAGTTTTCAACTAAGTGTCTTTTTCCCATTACACCCTCCCCATTCTTTATATTTATTGATTACTGAATTTATTATCAATATGAATGGTTTTTAAATTGTGAGCCACATTTCAAGTGATTTTGGAGTTACTGACAAGTATAGATGTCATCAGCTGGGTTCCTTGGTCATGTCTACTGGCTTTCCACTTCCACACTGTAGAAGTGGGTGCAACTGCCTTTCCCAAGACATGCAGACAGCCTTCTCGGCTTAATAAATCAGTTCTGTGTACAGTCAGCGATTCCAGCGGTGGAAACTCCACAAGGTACGAGAGAAAGGAAGTAAGTTCTGCTCTTAAACAGGTTTCAAGCCATGAATGAGTCATGAGTTATATTGGTGTTCCTTTGCCTTCATCAAACTCCCCCCCCCCGCCTACACGCACATACACACTCACACATACACACATACACCCATCTACACACACA